GTTCATAGGTTCTAAATACCAAATTTAAGATAATTAAGTTCAATAATCTGTTTCATTTTCTGATTTCCTACTGTTTTTGTTGGGAGAGTGCTAAGGGAATTCACAATCCCCTTGACCTTCAAAAGAGGAATCCTGTTTTGGCTCTGATGCTAATTTGCTTCTCTTTGGTCTTTGAAAGAGAAATTCAAGCAAGCAGCATTCTACTTGACGATGATTTTGAAGTGCATTTGGGGAACCTTAGCAGAGTTTGTACTCAAGAAAGAATCAATAATCAAAACAGGCTTGCGAGATTTCCGTAAGTTTTCTGAGCAGAATTTGATGGTTTCTAGTCCTTTAGCGCAATCAGATGTAGCCCTTTGTAAGCAGAAGCATTTAGTTACAAACTTTATTCATCTAAAAGACAATCAATTGCCTCCGAACAAAATGCCTTTCTTAATTTCGATCAATTCGCAGTAATTGCTGCATCTGATTTGGTTTGAGAATCATCCCCCCCGTCTGTTGATGTTGTTCGCTTTTATTTCTAATTCTTGTTCCTTTAATGATATCTTGCTTAGTTTGGCTTTTATTTTCTTCCTCGAACACATTTCATTAAACCGAAACCACTTTTTATAACTATCCTCCATCTCAAGTGTTGTCTTTGAAGTGCTGACTGTAGCTCCCCTCAGTTTAATTGTTGATCCTGAGGATGTTTAGAGCTATGGGCTCCATTCCTACTTCTTCCATTTAAAGGCTATATAAGCTCTATCTTTCTTTTAAGTTTCTGTTTCTTTCCAATATCATTGCATTGTTGTTCATGTTTCTTGGCTTGCTTGAGAAAGCTCTCGTCTTCATGCAGGGTTTTTGAACAAAGGAATTCAGGTGTGGTACACGGATACTTGCCCATGCTAGTTTTACAGACCATTTTGCAACTGTCTCTTGTTAATATTTATCTTTTATTTAAGCTCCTTAATATCATTGATACCTATGATATTTATTGCTTTGGGAAGGTTTTGCTTGAGTTAGTCACTGGTAAGCCAGGTTCAAGTGCAGCCAGTGACTTCAGCATGAAGACTTGGATGGCAAACACCTTGGGTTTTGTTGTTTCAAATGATAAGAAAGTTATTGCTAACATTGTTGACCCATCCTTCATCATGGATGAGGATACTCAGGAGGAAGTGTGGACAGTGGTTTCTATTGCCAATGCGTGTCTCAGTCATAAGCCTACTAAGCGGCCAAATGCGTATGACATCCATCAGTCTCTACGAGGTTACAAGCTACAGTGCAACTTAAACTAAGTAATATCATACATCGTCCAAACTTTTGAGGTTCGTGGGTAGTGTGCATAGAGTACCGCATTGGTTATGTAGACTAATGAGTATTGCTTTTTGATAATAATAATTGTGTAACTGGCCACAAGGATCTTTTTTCTTCCTTCCTTTCTGTTTGTCTGCATTGATTCCTGAATTTATCATCGTTCAACCATGCTTACATTTGACTTTAGTTCTTCCATGTATCATAAGCATTTTTCCACCTAACTGGAGAGATCAACAGAACATATTTGGTTTTCCTTATGAGAATGACTTTGTCAGGATTATTGAACGGGAGTATCACGGTCTGTCGTAGGGAAATCTATTCACATGCTGGCTCTAGGATTTTCAACTTCAGGAGGCCCAACTATGCTACTGAGAATTCTGGAATGTATAGTTGGCTGGGACATGATGAATTTGGTAGATTGTGCTTAAGCTGGCTTCAAGGGAAATCAGAGGCACGTGGTGGCATGGGATCACAGCCAATTGTTATAAAAAATATGTATCTTAAACCGGTGAAAGGCTTTAAGAAATGGCAGGTAACTAAAAATATGGCTGGTGAATGGATGATACCTAATTATTTGAACGGCCGAGGTCTAGAACTCCCCTTCATGAGCTTTGACACCTCTTTTAGTTCTTATTTGGCCAATATCTAGGATGTAGTTCAAGAATAATATTTTTTTCAATGAATGCCGCTATCTCTCCTGAAACGATGTTTGGAATGTTCTGTTGTAAATTATGATTCATCTTGAAACTACTGATTCCTCTCAAGTATGACATGGAAAATATTTGGTAACTTGGATAGCCTACCTAAATGCTTGTATTTTGCAGGCTGAGGTAGAATTGCTTGAAGGACTTTCTCATCCCAATATACTGGAACTTCTTGGTTGCTCCTTGGAGTACAGCCAGGTACTTCTTATCTACAAATTTATGCAAGATGGAAGCTTGAAGAAATACTTCTCCAGTGGTAACTTTTTTTTTTTTATTATTATGTAGTACTATTATATGATTCAATCTTGTATAAATTACAGAAAATAATCGGTCTTATATTGTTTAATATCTGAAGAGACTTCAGAAGAGGCTATTCGTGAACTTAACTTGGGACAGGAGTCTTAAGATTTTAGTAGGAGCAGCAAGAGGTCTAGCATTCTTGCACACATCACATAGGCAAGGTTTTTTCCCACAGGAGAGGGAGAAGGTTTTTATGCGTACTTCAGCTGCCCGAATATCTTACTAGATTCAGTAAGTTCTTGAACCTCACAATTTTGTAGCAGTGCAAGTTCAGTGGATTCTCTTGCTTCTCATGTTTAATACAGTTGTTGGAGGTTTCTTGATAGGAAACATAAGTACAAAACTGATCACAAGTCTTTACTCTTATTTACATTGTTCAACTGATTCCTATTTTCAGGATTACAACCCTAAGATTACAGGTTTTGGTGTGGCGGAGGGTGATCCCCCAGATGTTATGTATGATGTCCATCCGTACAAATCATTTAGCGGGAAGTATGATTATGGTGCTCCTGAGTATATAAATTTAGGTAATCTAGCCAAATCTCTCTTAGCTTCTGCATTTAAGATTCCTTAGCTGACAGAGGAACTATAAGTTCAACTCACTTGTGTGGAAAAGATTCTGTTTGATATCCCTGTTAAAGGATGAAAGTATTTATTGCTTTCTTGAACCACTATTTACCAAGGGACTCAATTGACCTTGATGAGTTTGTGCCTGCGAAATCATATTTGGGGAGCAATGTGTATGGTTTTGGCGTTGTATTGGTCCGGATGGTAACTGGTGTGGACAATTATCATCATGCATACACACTCAAGCAGCTTGGACCTCATATCTTCATAGAAACACATATGGACCGGTGGTTAAAAAGCAAAAATTCCCACAGAAGCTGCTGTGGAAATGGCTCAGCTTGCTCAATTATGTGTACGAGATGATCATACTCTCAGACCATCAATGGAACATGTCGTGGAGATACTAGAAGGCATTGAAAAGATCCAGAGTGACGAGGACGGTCTTACTGAGCTAGAGCTGTTGTTGAAAAGGGCTAACAAGTTATCAGGGAATGAAGCGGTTGAAATCTATGAGGAGAAACATGGTAAGCCGAAGCAAAATTCAAAGAAAATCAGCGAGCTAAATAAAAAGCTCTCGAGTAAAGGATACAAAACCATTTATATGAGTGCTAGTCGTTTACAACACCAGAAAGCAGGTTTTGGGGGAATTGTTCTGAACGAGGAAAGGATGATTATCAATGCCTGGGCGATTTGTTGTGATCAGAATGCAAGTCTAGTAGACACAGGATTACAGGCGATTCGATATGCCCAATTAATAGCAGAGGAGAAGAGTTGGGGAAAAGTGCAGATGAGATGTGATGTCCAAGGTATAGTTAGCAAAATCATTCGAGCGACAACGTTTGAAGCGAAATTCTCTACCATCGCGAAAGACATCATAAGTTCAAGAGAATCGTTTGAAGAGTGATGTTTTTGTTTATGTTCCCAAAGAATGGAATGAGAGCTCTAATAGATTAGCAAAGTGGAGAGCCAAACTTCAGAGACATGGAGCAACTCTTTCCCGTCATGGCTGATTGAGCGAGTCTAATCAGAAAGGTGCAATTTTCTAGTCTGTTAGTCAACCATTTGAACTGTGTGTAGCATAACTGCCATTTTAGTGTTGAAAAACCAAAAAAAAAAAAAAAAATACAAGGCGGGAAACCTGTCCTACCATTGAGCTAAAAAGAGTAATATAATGACACCTGACACGTTGACATGTGATTGACGAGGAAGTCAAGTAGTCAACGGCTGAAACGTTGGCAAATGACACCGTCCCAATCAAACGCGTTGAAATGGAAAGATACCTTCAGCATTTGTTGGTTATGCCGTCAAACGACTTTAATTCCGTTCCCACTCTTATTGTGCCAACAAAATTTAATATTTTTTTTTCTAGTAAACATTTTGTATCCTTAAAGCAAATAGATGTGACTTGTGACTTGTAGACCAAGGAAAAAGAGGGAATGAAACTATGAAAGGAAACCCCCTCCAATTTTGTCACTTTTCCGAAATGTGTTGAGAAAACCGAAGTCTCTTGTTTAAGTAGGCGGCAAGGAAAACTCTGATTTCATTTCATCAACTCCGACCGACCATTTCGTCGATCAAATCTCCGGCAGAGCGATAGAGGATAAACATATATACAACCTGAGAATAAGGTATGTCCTTGCCCGCAGTATATGACAATTGGGGTCGTCTGGTCAAAGCCACTTTGCGGAGGGAGGAGTTCAGGGAGCTTGCTCTGAGGACCCCAAGTGATCTTTCCTTGGCATCGTCATCATCATCATCATCGCCATCTTCCCATTTGGGTTCATCCTTATTGTTGGGGGAATCATTCACCTATCATCAAATTCTTGAAGCCACGGATTGTTTTAGTGACTCTAAGCTCATAAAGCATGGCAGCTCTGGGGACATTTATCATGGAGTTTTACCTAGTGGAATTCAAATTGCTGTTAAAAAGGTCAACGTATCGTCCTTGGAGAAAGAAGTATGTCTACTGTCAGAAATGAGAGTTTTCGGGATGGCCATGGATCATTCTATACTTGTTCCTCTTCTAGGTCATTGCTTAAAGGATGCCGATGAGAAATTTCTGGTGTACAAATATATGCGTCATAAGGATTTATCGAGCTGTTTGGATGGCAAAATTTATATAGACTGGACAACAAGGTTAAAGATTGCGACCAAAGTCGCAGAGGGATTATGTTATCTACATCATGAATGTTCCCCTCCACTTGTCCATAGGTAAGACCAGAATCTCTCCATGTTTAGATAGTTTCACTCTTTTCTCCTTTTAATTCTATGTTAGTTGGCTAGAGAGAATGTACCAGTTTTGATGATCATGTGATGCTGATGATGCTCATATTTGGCATGTTTGTTTTGAGTCTCGAAAGAGATATTCAAGCTAGTAGCATCCTGCTTGATGATGATTTTGAAGTGCATTTGGGGAGTCTCGCCAGAGCTTGTATTGAGGAAAAGGGCGACAACCCGAACAGGATTGCTAGGTTCTTCCGGTTGCAAATGTGAGTTTCTCAACAGTTCTTAGTGTCCATGGTGTTTCTCTTCATCACCACAAGAGATCCATTTTCGAAACTAGGATCTCCTTTTTTGCGTAATAGATGGCTTAAGAAGCATGACTACTCTGTTTGCTTTTCTGTGGAAGATATTTGTATCAGTAAACTGAATAATTACAAAGCTTCTTAGTTGTCGGAAAGTGAGTAAAACTATTCCGAACTTACTTCTGTTCCTCTATCCTAACGTTGATTGCTGAATCTTAATGTTATTCTCCCAGCTGCAGGATGTATTTTATGTTTCAATTTTTATTTTTATTTTTTTTGTCAGTATGATTGGGTACATTATACTCTTGCTTAGCTTGGCTTGATTTGTTTCTTGGAACACATTTCATGAACACCTTGGGTCACAACGGAAACAGCCTCTTTGTGTAATTACAAGGGTAAGGCTGCGTACAACTGACCACCCAGACCCCAACTTGGTTGGGATATACTGGGTTATGTTGATGTTGATGAACACATTCCATGAACCTGAGAGGTTTGTTAAGTGTCGTTGGTGATCTTTCCTATATCTTATATGCACTGTTGATTCTTTCTTCCCTTTCTTACTTCCTAGGGATTGTCTCTAGCTACCTTGTCTTAATTTCCAATTTCCTTTCTTTGTTGGTAACCAGTCCTTGGCTTGTTTAGACTCATGACAGGCCTTCTTATTTTCTGCAGGAGTTCTAATTCTGAACAATGGAATTCTGGTATTGCACTTTAGTATTTCCTTGATGCTACTCATCTAGTTGCTTCTTCAACTGTTTTTATGTAGTTGTCTTGCTTTGGGATACTAAATTGGCACCGAGCTTAGTGATGTTTTAGTTTTTCCCTATGCTCACAGATAACTTCAATTTCATTGAGTTACGCAGTAATCTTCCATGTTAATGTTTTGCTGATTTTAGAAGCTGGTTCATTTCTAAGTTTCGCTTATTGAAGGCACATGTAGGACCACTTTTAGTAATAGTCTAGTAGATGGCTGAGTAAAATCCACAGAGAAAACAAAATGCAAGAAAGAAAACTAGCAGAGATGAACTTCTTTTTTCAAAACATTTTTGAACCAATATCTCGTGGAAACCGTAAAGGTATCAGGAAGTTAAGGGAACATCACCATCATTTCTGATCTTACTAGTTTCTGAAAGGGAAAAGTTAGAATTCATTTTTATATCTTTCTTGTTCTGGGAGTTTGATATTTATATTTGTGCCCAAAACTAATCTAGATTTGTCAGGTAATGCAACATGTGCCTATGATGTTCATTGCTTTGGAAAGGTTTTGCTCGAGCTTGTTACTGGCAAGTCGGGCTTAAGTGCTGCCAAAGGCTCCACTGTGAAGAATTGGATGGTTAGAACACTGCCGTCTATTGTTTCAGATAATAAGAGATTGATTGCCAACATTGTTGACCCATTTTTGCTCATGGATGAGCATATCTTGGAGGGAGTATGGGCAGTTGCGCTAATTGCAAAAGCGTGCCTCAGTCTCAAGGTTACAAATCGTCCTAAGATGGTTGAAATCCTCAAGGCCTTGGAACGTGCTAATTTGCCAAGGCTCCATGGTATTGCAGGTAAGCTGCCTCTGGTTTTATGGTTCTGCATAGTGAAGACTAAACTAGAAACTGTAGTTTTCGTCATGAAATTCCACACAGCACCTTTCAGGTGGTAGAACCACTTATCAATAACTCTAAGTTATTTGTAGGGATGGCTGCAAATGGGCTGGGCATTGAGCCTGCCGTGCTTGATGACATAATCAACCGGTTGCTGAAATGCCGGAAAGACAGCACGGTGAGCCAAGTCCAGCTCTCAGAGGCGGAGATTCGCTCACTCTGTACCACCTCCCGTGGAATCTTCCTTCAACAGCCTAACCTTTTGGAGCTTGAAGGACCGATCAAGATATGTGGTGACATTCACGGGCAATATCCTGATCTGTTGAAAGTCTTTGACCGTGGAGGCTTTCCTCCTGAGGCCAATTATTTATTTCTAGGGGATTATGTGGACCGCGGAAAGCAGAGCCTTGAGACCATCTGCCTTCTCCTTGCTTACAAGATTAAGTATCCTGAGAACTTTTTCCTTCTCCGAGGAAATCATGAATGTGCTTCGATCAACCGGATATACGGGTTCTATGACGAATGTAAACGCCGGTTTAACGTTAGGGTTTGGAAAATCTTTACGGATTGCTTCAATTGTCTTCCTGTAGCGGCTTTGATCGATGACAAAATACTCTGCGTGCACGGTGGCCTGTCTCCAGATTTAACAAGCCTGGATCAAATAAGGAACTTGATGCGTCCAGCGGATGTTCCAGACTATGGCCTTCTTTGTGATTTACTATGGTCAGATCCCAGTGGAAACATTAAAGGTTGGGGAATGAATGATAGGGGCGTCTCATTCACCTTCGGGCCTGATAAGGTGGCAGAATTCTTGACGCAGCACGATTTGGACCTCATTTGTCGTGCTCATCAGGTTGTGGAGGATGGATATGAATTTTTCGCCGACAGGCAACTGGTTACCATATTCTCTGCTCCAAATTATTGCGGTGAATTCGACAATGCTGGTGCAATGATGAGTGTAGATGAAAATCTAATGTGCTCCTTTCAGATTCTGAAGCCCAGCTTGCGTAGGTTCTTCATCGAGCCTCTAGAAGCAAAGGATTCGTGAGGACTTGCAACAGGAATGGGCACGGAAAGCTTTCTGAGGATCAAGTCAGGGCGAGTTTGCCGGCGAATGTGGGATATAGTTGACAGCAGAGAATCATTTGCTCATCTCGTTATGCGGCCGCGCGATTGATAAATAGACTGTTACATAGATTGTTCCTTGATTTGGAACTTTACAGTTTGACTATCATGAATTTGATGTTGTTTTGGCTTTGTTTGTTTGATTCATTCAGCTTTGAAGGAAATCAAAAACAAAAATAAAACCAAGTTAGTAGTAAATTTTCTCAACACTTCTTCAATGAGGCTTTGATTGAGTATTTGATCTCCCCATTTTTTCTTAATGAAGAGATGTAAAAATGACAGTGCTTGTTTAGATGTCAACTTACATTTTATTTCACCGCTTAAAAGTGGAAAGTGTTTTAAATTGAAAACTAAATGGAAAATAAAAATATTATTTGGATATTGGTTTTGAAAAAAAAAGTATTTTGAAAAGTCAATTATAGTCACTGCAACAAAGAACTTTTCCAAAAACAATCACTCAACAACGGAATCCTGCCAAATTTGTTATTGAGTTACTTGTAGTTCAAAAATGGTCATTACACTAACAAAAAGTGTTTCAAGTTGGAATTTAAAATGTAAATCAGAAAATTGTTTGGTTAATGTTTTTTTTTCTATTGGGTTTTATATTTAAGAGGTAAAATGAGACAAAATATAAAATGAAAGGTTGGCCAAACAATGAATCAAAGATTGAAAGGAAGCTTTGTTTGATTAGAATCTAGTCTCTATATTGTCTCTGTATGCAGTATTTACTACCCAACGGGTTGACCTCCACCAAGTCCTTAATGATCAAAATGATGAACTAAAAAATGTGTAAATAAATCACCCAAGGTTATATCATGAGTCAACGGCTGACAAAGGTTGACTAGCAATGAAACCCTACCGTCAAAATTCAAACGCGTTGAAGTGGAAAAAAAATACATACAGTATATGTTATTATGCCATGAACGCCATTAACTCCGTTTTCACTCCGATAACCGGCGGCAGGGAAAATGAATGGATGACAAAATATTGTAGATTATGTCTGCAGTTTATGAGAATTGGGATAGGCTGATTGCCGCCGTTCTGCGCAGAGAGGAGAATCGGGAAATTGCTCTGAGATCCTTCAGTGATCTTTCTTCACTATCATCATCCTCTTCATCTTCATCTTTTGATTTGGGTTCTCGCCGGCATGGCCGAATTTCTGTTTCATCTTTGAGCTCATCGAGTTTATTGGTAGGTGAATCATTCCCCTGCCATCTGATCCTTCAAGCCACGGATTGTTTCAGTGACTCGAAACTCATGAAGAAGGGTCACTCCGGCGATCTCTATTTCGGAGTTTTACAAACTGGGATTCGGGTTGTCGTTAAAAGGGTCAAGTTTTCGTCGTCGGAGAAAGAGTTGTGTTTGGTTTCGGAAATGGGAATTTTCAGGATGGTCGACCATTCCAGGATGCTTCCTCTTTTGGGACTTTGCTTGGAGAATGCCGATGAGAAATTCCTGGTTTACAAGTTTATGCACAATAAGGATTTGTCAAAATTCCTGAGTGGCGAGATTGACGACGAAGGACGGTCAACTCCATGTCTAGATTGGACTACAAGGTTGAAGATTGCAACCCAGGTTGCAGAGGGATTATATCATCTGCATCATGAATGTTTCCCGCCACTTGTTCATAGGTAACATAATTTCCAAACTATTTTCGTAATCTCGTTTCATTTGTCTTTCACTCTTAGAAAAGGGCTGATTGGATTTTACCATGGGATGATTGTTTGATGCTAATAATTTGGCTTAATTGCTTCTCTTGAGTTTTTAAAAGAGACATTCAAGCAAGCAGCATTCTACTTGATGATAATTTTGAAGTACGTCTGGGGAGCCTTAGCAGAGCCTGTATCGAAGATACAAACTCTAACCCAAATGGAATTGCAAGATTTCTGTAAGTTTCTATATGAAATTATATGGATCTTTCTAGTCGTTTATTTTAATCATATGTGACTTCTTTGTTTAATTCTTGTTATTTGGTGTTCAAGTAGGCCAACAAAAAGAACAACCGGATACTTATAGCTACAAATACTCTGTGACTTGTTATGGTTTTATGTATTATTTATTCCACGTTACTACTTATAATGCAGCAGTGTATGAGTAATTATAGAAAAATATTGTGAATTTGTAATGATGACTATTATATCAAAAAGGATGGAGCATCTTCTGGTTTTAAGGCAAAGCTCATATTTGTATGGCTAACCCTAACTAGATAATACAACACTTCGGTTCTGGAAAAGATAAATAGTCCCTCTGAAAATTTGGCCTTTGTTTTATCCTTTTGCACTAATTGGCTTGATGTGAGTCCTTATGAAGTTTGGCTTCGATTTTCTTTCTCAAACTCATTTCATTGACCCACACGAGCTTTTACAACTGCCCCCTTCATATTTCACATTCTGTCTGAACTGCTGATAATTCTTCCTCGTCTTCAATTGCTTTGTTGCCAGGGGATGTTTATGAGAGCAATATACTCCATTCACACTCCTGTTTATTAAGGATATTGAAACTTTCTCTAAATGCCATTTTCGTTCCAATATCATCGTGTTGTTGTTCATTGTTCTTGAGATAATGACACACTTTCTTCATTCATTATGCAGGGGATTTGAGCAAAAGAATTCGGGTATAGTACTCTTCATACTCCCTCCATCTAATTTTGCAGACCACTCTTCAACTGTCTTTTATAAAATATACCTCATTTAAGCTCCTTGACAGTCATTAAGACTTACTAAATTATTTTACGGACATCTCATACACTAGGAAGTTTACACATTTTCTTGAAACAAACAAGTTAAGTTTCATTGTTTGACCCTGCCAACAATTCATTGTTGGCTGGATCATCATCGTCCAACAGAAGCAGAAATGAGGCTAACCTGAATTACCATTAAAGTCGCTGGTGGGTTACTTCTTGACCCATAAAAGACAAAAGTGGACACCCTTTTTCCTTTGAAACCACAGAGATAATCAAATTTGTTTGTCCAGGAGTTTGACATGGCAATCCCCTCAATATTCTTTTACTTCGATATCTAACACTGAATGTTCAGGAACATATACTGCAAAATGTGCCTACGATGTTTATTGCTTTGGAAAGGTTTTGCTTGAGCTGGTCACCGGTAAGCTAGGGATAAGTGCTGCCGATGACACCACCATTGAGGATTGGATGTTGAACATGCCGCAATCCATTGTTTCAGCTGATAAGAAACTCTTTGCGAACATTGTTGATCCATCTTTAGTCATGGATGATCATATGTTGGAGGAAGTGCGGGCTGTTGCTTTTATTGCCAAGGCAAGTCTCAGTCCTAAGCCTTCTCAGAGGCCTAAGATGACAGAAATCCTCAAGGCCTTGGAAGGTAATAATTTGGTAACTCAGTGAAGGTAATCTAGGCTTCAAATTAAACTAATCCTCAAGTATGAAGCCACATTTTCCTTTGGTTTTTATCACTGTGGGAAAGCTTGTTCATTGTTGAACTAAGAACAATCAGTGACAAGAACCTTTTATTGAACCCCGCTGGCATCTCATTTTTAATCCATGTATAACCACTTTTGCACCTACCCTTTTTCTATTTAGTAAGAATTATAAAAGTGGAACCAATATTATATATTTGACTTTCTTATGCAAATATGACATTGTTAGAATTATCGGCGGTGAAGAGGAGTATCAAGGTTTCTCCGATTGGGGAGATTTATCTGCATGCCAATTCCAAGATTTTCACTCTCGGGGAGCTCAGGGATGCCACCAGAAACTTTGGAGGGGAAAATTTTCTGGGCCAAGATGAATTTGGTAAATTATATCGAGGAATGTTCCTTGAGAAGTCAAAGTCACATAGTAACTCCGAATCACCAATAGTCATAAAAAGAATGCATCGTAGAAGAATGAAAGGTTTTCCGCAATGGCAGGTAATTCATAGCTTACCATTTGAAAGGTCGTATTGCAATTTCCTTCTCTTTAAATTCTTTGTTGCCTGATATGGCACTAGCTCCCCGCAAATGATATTTATCCTGATGTAATATATATAGGAGTAGTTTATGATGAAGCTACTGATTCCTCTCAAGTATGACCATAAAATATTTTAATTTACTTTTGACTAAGAAATTTAATCGATAGAAACTGTTCCCTGCAGGCTGAGGTGGAACTGCTCGGAAGGCTTTCTCATCCCAACATACTGGAACTTCTTGGTTACTGTTTGGAGGATAACCAGTTACTTCTTGTGTACAACTTTATGCTGGAGCGAAACTTGAATGAATACTTTTCTGGAGGTGAGTTGCTGCAGTTACTATCAGTCAATCTTATATAAGTCAATTTTAATCCATCGTCAGTGTCTTGATGTCTCAAGAGGGTTCTGCTACTCGGAACTTTACTTGGAGCAGGAGGCTTAAGATTTTGATAGGAGCAGCAAAAGGTCTAGCATTCTTGCATTCATCACAGCGACAAGGTTTTTTACAACAGAAGAGAGAGGGAGAAGGTTTTTATGGGTATTTTAGCTGCTCAAAAATATTACTTGATTCCGTAAGTTTGCAAATTTTAAGCAGTACAAGTACCAATCGGTGGTGTGGTTCTCATGTTTTTATACATTTCTAGATTATCACGAAAGTGAAAAACTGATAAGAAGAGATTTATTTACTCTTGAATCTTTATACAGTGTTCAACTGGTTGCTATTTCAGGATTGCAACCCTAAGATTACAGGTTTCGGTGTGGCTGAGGTTGATCTTCCAGATGATCTTTTTGATGTCGGTCTTATAAGGGGGAGATATGACTATGTCTATGCAGCTCCTGAATATAAAGGGCTAGGTGAGCTGACCAATACTTTTCATATATTAAGCTTCCGGGCGAACAAATAATTTTACGGAACATTGAAAATTTTTACTGATTTTCTGGTATCTCTATATCCAAGAGAATCCGCACTCGGATTCGGAGAAGGCTGACAGTATCCGTGTTCACTGTTCACCCCTGAACTCTTATCTGGGTAGTGATGTGTACGGTTTTGGTGTAATATTGGTCCGATGCATTGGAAGAAATAAGTCTCAGTGGTTGAAAGAGAAAGTTCCCTTAGAAGCTGCTAACAAAATGTCTCTGCTTGCCGAATCATGTCTTCAACATAATCATGAGCTCAGACCAACAATGGAACAAGTTGTAGAGACATTGGAAGTCATTGAAAAGATCAGGAGCAACGAAAATGAGCTGAATGTGCTTAACTTGAGGACAAGGGGCTGGAAATGGCAAACACTAAACAGAATGGCTAAATTTGAACAAGGTAAGAAGAAATGACAGGCGGGACTGAAATTCATAAAAAACCAGTAGTCAAAAAATGACCAAGTAGAGAAATTGCTTGGAACGGTGTAGGATGGAAAACCATTTATGGGAGTAGCTCCTCCTTCCCTTTCACGATGGTCGATTGAGTATTTTGTTCGGTTGCTTTCAATTGAACAAGAAAAATATTATGATTTAATTTGATAGAGTCCATAAATTATGTTTTAATTATTATTATTTTATGAGTTTATGGACTCGAATGGTTTTAATTCATTAAGTTTTATTAATGTTTTGTGTTAGGAGCTGAAAATCGGAGTTTACAATTTTTTGGAGCTAATTGGTACAACAAGAGATTGCAAAAATCATCCAAGTTGAGCAAATGAAGAAGTTTACTCCAATTATGGACTTAATTGCAAAACATGGAAGTTGCTGAAGGCAAAAGCTGATAAGAAAAAATTTATTGGACTTAATTTTATTATTGAAGAACTTGTGGGTTAATTATGAAAAGATAAAAAATGACCAATTTTGCAATTTTTGGCCAAACTTTTGTTTTCATGCGGCTGACCTAATTCTATATAAGGCAGCGTGAATTTCAGTTTTGGCCATCGTTTTTTTGTTCGAAGATACATACATAGTGCGCAGACTTTCTTTTGGCTTCAGAGGTCAGCGGCTGCCTCCGTTTCTCCGAGTTTTCAATTCTTCTAGACTTGGTACTATTTTTCTATGAATAAATTAGCTATTATGTCCATGATTAAGAATAGCTAAACCCTTTATTTCTGATTCAAGGGATTTAATTCAATTATTTCATATGTGAGGTTTTGGTATTAATATAATCTTATCTATGGTTTGAGTTGTTGTTTATTCTTGTTTTAATTTATAAAAGTGAGTATAAACTGAATTGAAAACTTGGTTTTATTTACTTTTTAGTGCTATCCTAATGGTTGTATGTTACGTAATTGACACGAACCTCTGGGTTTAGTAGCAACTAGGCATTACTAGTGCATTTGTGAGACATAGGGTGTTCTTGAATGCTTAGTAGAAGAATACGCAAATCATAATTTAACTTATTGCAGCTATCTCAATAATATTGAATTGTGTTTTAGGTATATTTCCTTTTTATTGCTAGATTTGCATGGAACGCTATCGTGTACAGCGTTTAATGATAAGCGCTAACTGAATGCTAGGTTTGGTTAGTTAATTTAGGAGAATTTTAAGTTTACTAAGGCTATCCTGGTATGCTTAGACTTGAATGCTTAAACTGCAAGAATAATTTTAGATATCTATGATCTGTGAAATAGTTGGATGATCCGTTACTTGAGTCAGAATTCTTGTGATATTGAATTCTCTCCTTGTTTATTTGTTTTTGGTTTTCAAAAGAAGTTTTAAATTTTCTTTTAATCTCTGTAGTTAATAAACCAACAAACAAAATCTTTTTGGACATTGTCAAACTAAGAACTAAGAACCTAACTCCTTTAGGATTCGACCTGGTACTGCTACTACTGCAAATTTTATTGTTGGGTAGGATTATCCGATTAATTTTGGGTGCCTCGACAAGCTTGCCAAAATTTGGCGCCTTTGCCGGGGAGCTAAGGAATTAGTTTCTTAGTTTCGCCAGTGTCTTATTTTGCTATATTTTGTGAACTAGAAGCCTTTGTTGTGTTAGGTGTGATCACGCCTAACGTGATAAACGTTTCTGAATTTTTTTAAAGAAAAATAAAAAAATAAAAAATCTTTTTCTCTTACAATAAACCTTTTCTCTATCAGGTTGTTGCTATCATAAGGTTCAGTGCTTAATACTTTGTTTACTCTTACTTTGCTTTTTGTGGTTTATGACTAGAGCGAATCCACAAGGTTCATTGGAATTCATTCCTGAGATTGAAAAAGAAACTCATAAGCGAAGAAAAGAGAGTAAGAAAAAGGAAGGTGAATCGTCCGAACTGGTAACTTTTGATAGTGAATTAGATAATTTTGATTATTCTGTGCAGGAAGAAAAGCAGAAACCTTCTCCCCCAAGTAAACTTACTCTACCATGTTCTATTGCCGATGTAATTGATGAATGAAAATCTTCAAAAGTAGAGTCAAAACCACCACAAGTCTAGATGATGCATATGGTCATCTATCTCGACCTCCTGAAATAGAGATAAAGATAGATTCAATTTTAGATATGCTAGACAGAGGTGGAGCGTTTAAGGAATCAGTTAGAGGAGACTACTTTCCGCCTCATTTTGTCGACTCAAAATATGAATTTGGTCCGTCTAACTTTAGTTTTGTTGGAAATTGCTCAGGATTTTATCTACTGTTGTTAGGTGGAGTTTCAAAATTTCTGCCATGAGACGCATGGAATTTGTCTAGCCAAAGACATTAAAGAAAGATGCCTATTGGGAGACAACCCAAGTTCACTTGATTGTGCTTTTATTTGTTAAATTAGTTTTGTCAGTTGAACTTTAGTTTTTCATGAATGTTTAGTGTTTTATTTTAGTAAAAAAAAAAGATTTTGTTAAGCGTGATTATGGGTAAGATAATGTTTGGTTCGCTGCATTTTTATTGGAGTAATTTTCTCTTAGTCTTGATCATGCCTAAGAGAAGAAAGGATTCTAAAATTTTGATTTAATTTTTGACAATGACAAGTGAATCTCTATCCTTACTAGACGAGATCATGTCTAACACGAACATAGCCATTTTTTTAAAAAAAAAAATACTGTCGTTTTTTTCCCTTTTTCAGGAACCTACAATTCCACATTACCAACGGCGGATTAGCATTGACAGCCATCTGCTTCACATCCATCGCCGATTCCCATTGTTGCCGGCAGCAAGGTTTCTCCACCACTGCACCACAGCAAGGGCGCCGCTCTCTTTATCCCGATTAATTCCAACGGCTATACCATAAAGTTCGGTGCACTCCTTCATCTTCCTTGGCCCGACAATTCTGTCCGTTTACCACCGTAGTCATCATCGTTCAATTCTACTCCATCTACCATCAACCATCACCATCATCATCATTGTTCGCACTGTCGCTCCGATCTCATCGTCGGCGACCGCTGGCGACCGTCGGCGGCAGCAACGTAAGCGATCAGAAGATCGAAAAGAACATAGCAGCGTTAGCAATCCAGATCAGAAGATTTTGTTATAAATATACGCTTCCTCCGTTTTCACCTTTATGTCAGCATGAAGTCCACCGCTGTCGCTTTCTCTATTAGTCATCATCATTATCATCATCCTGGCTGCTTCACCCTCGGTTTAGCCATCATCCGTCAAGCCTTGGAGATGAATTATCAACAAGTTTTTCACACGATCCATTTCCATTTCAGCACTTTCAATTGCGAAAAACATTCTCCAGGGAAGATTCTAACTCCATCTTTTTATAGCAGTTCTGATTTAATTCTTTTTGCTGCAGTTTTGATGATGGTCTTCTTTGGAGTTTGTTTGTTTTTGAATTGGTGTTGAGAGTATCAATGTTTATAAGTCTCAACTTGTTTAAATATCTTTTCTTCTATGCTGCTATGAGTTGAGTTTGATTTGTGCCTTTAGTTGTTTCGTGGGGATTGAATTTGAGTGAATTGAATTTAAATGTGTTGTTGTATTCCACACTATGAAGTCGTGCTTAGCTCCTTAGTTTACGTGTTTTGTGTGAGTACCATAAGCTACATTGAGGACAATGTACAAATTAAGTGTGGGGAAGAAGGTTTCTGTTTTCTTTTGTGTGTTTTCCTTTTTTCTTTTGTGTGCTTTTGTGTGTTATTTGTTAAAAACAATTTTAAAAAAAATAAAAAAAAATGAAAAAATACCAAAAATAGCCAATGATAAACTTAACTTGAGACTCCATGAATTCTAATTACATTGGGACAAAATTTCTTTTGAGTCTGTGCATTATGTGTTCTACCCTGAATACTTTACTTGCGCACTTTAGCCGTAATTCTGGGATAAACTTAACATGTATGTGTAATTGCCTAAATTCATGCGATATGCCAAAGTTTGATTTGATTCATTCAGTATTTGTACCATTTGCATGTGGGACCTTACTATATTATGGAATCCAAAAGTAGGCATTAACCTATCATCACTTCAACCTCGAAAAACGGGAGAGTGGTGGTTTGAAGATAGTCTTTTTACCTTCTTGCTTAAAGTATGTTGTACTAAGTAAGTGTGGGGGAGGGGTTATTGGCGGATGCTTTTCTGAGATTAGGTACAATTTAGAGAGGAGAAAAGGAAGAGCATTCAATGTTGATGCTAGTCCATTGATAGGTGGGAAGTCTGGCAAACAATTAATTGAGTGTCCTCAGGCCCGTCGGTGAGAAAGTATGAGTAAGTAGACTGCGCTAAGTTGCTGAGTCACTATGTTTATCACTAAACAAATCAAGTGGAAAAATGTTCTGTGTAGGGGCCTGAGTGGGAAAGATCCTGAAGAAAAGCCATATGGACAATGAAGAATGGGTACGAGGGAAATGCGTTGAATTTTATATTGTGAGGTGTAATTGTAAGCCTTCGGTTTCATAATATGTGTAGCAGTAACATTCATTGAAGTACGGTCTGAATTGGGGATCCTAAGTTCAATCTTCAGTGGCACATTTGCATTTAAATTTTTGTATTTTTTGCTATATGTGATAATGATGTCCCTAGGGAGTGGTTTACACACACACACAAAGGACTAAAGGGTAAAAGCATGTAATGTATTTGATTTGATTGTGAATTTTTGTTTTATTGTTTCTATGATTTCTTTTGAGTGCTAGAGTTCCTGAGGCGCATCTAAAATAAGAATTTGTTGAAGTTTAGAATTTCTGGTTCTTTAATGCTTGAAGGCAAGCATGCTTTAAGTGTGGGGGAATTTGATAGAGTCCATAAATTATACTTTAATTGTTATTATTTTATGAGTTTATGGACTTGGATGGTTTTAATTCATTAAGTTTTATTAACGTTTTGTGTTAGAAGCTGAAAATCGGAATTTACAACTTTTTGGAGCTAATTGGTACAACAAGAGACTGCAAAAATCATCCAAGTTGAGCAAAGGAAGAAGTTTACTC